ATTTGATTACGCAAACCTCATTTACAGGCCCATCGGCCACATATCACCCTGTCATCTGTATTTGATGACGCAAAGCTCTCATATAGGCCCCTCAACCATACATCGCCCCGTCATCTTTATTTGATGACGTGGAGATCTCATATAGGCCCATCGGCCATATATCGACTCGTCATCTTTATGTGATGACATGGATCTCATACAGGCCCCACGGTCATATATTTGCTAGTCATCTTTATTTGATGACCTGGACATCACATTATGGACGGTCACTAGACCTATCTCTTAGTCATCTTTATTTGATGACTGTGACTATTTATCATGTCGAGCTACTCACGTCTAGAGACTGATCTCGGCCATCCCCTCACCAGACGGACACCGCTGCATCTCCACACCTAGGTCGAAGGGCTCACCCCTTTTGCTTCATTTTGGGGGCATCCGGTGTACTCTTTTTCCCTCATTAGGATTTTTTCCCACTGAGTTTTTCCTAATGAGTTTTTTAACGAGGCATCTCCCCATTGTGGACCAAAAGGTGTCGACCCTCGGGGAGATGCATAGTGGGGGATTGGAAGAGTGGGAGACTTAGCGCCCCCGTTAATCGAAGAAGCACAAATTCAAAATTTTTCACGAAGGTTACTCACCAGATGACGACATATCAGCACACAACTCTACTCCCTTTCGCCTCGAGTACTCTCGCCTCAGGGTAGGCATGGACCGGTTCCGGTTCGGGCCTAGGCCCGGCCGGGCCTCGATTCAAGAAGGGGAGGCCCGGAACCGGCCCGGGTAACCCCCGGGTCCGGGCTGGGCCGGGCCTCGGGTCTATTTTTTTTTTTGGCTTTTCCTAGTTAACCCCCCAACCCTCCCCCTCACCCCCCAAACCAACCCTAACCACCTCAAATGGCCCAAAATACCCAACCCAACCCAAAACCTTCATCAAAATTCAAAAAAAAAAATTGCCCGGCCCGGGCCCGAATCGGCAGGGCCGGTTCACCTTTTGAAGGGCCCGAGCCCGAACCGCCATCCCACCGGGCCGGTTGGCCCGAACCGGGCCCAGAACTGGTTCACCGAGCCGGGCCGGGCCCGCACAGTAGCGGGCCGGTCCGGTTCCGGGCAGGTTGGCCCGGCCCGAGTCCACCCCTACCTCAGGGAGTGGGTGACTCCTGATTGAGTATATGGACTCGAATCTCCGGTCTCATTACTATTGGGCTCGAACAGCGGCCCACGTACACTCAGTAGATAGCATTTATCTCATTGTACACTCTATTTATTCATGTATATCCATTAGAATAGATTGAATAACATTTATTAGTCATTTATTGTCCCTTTATTGTAACTGGGCCTGCCAGACCCAAGCCTGAAAGCCCAACCCATTTTTACCCTATAAATACTCCCTATGGGAGCCATGTAAAGGGTTGGAAATTCATTTATACATATCACTTTATCTCTCTAGCTCTACTTTCTCTCTAGGTAATTAATCTATCTATGAAGTATATAGGGCAAGGTTCAAGTAAGAACACTAGGAGAGAAATGAGAATTACATTCAACCACCCATTAATTGAATCTTGCGGCTGAAACATGAGACCGGGAATGCAAAATTCGGATGCTATATGATGTTTCATGAGAGTTAAAATTGGAAAGAGTGAATAAGTTTAATAATTGAAGGGTATTTACGTAAAATAGGAAAAAACATTTATCCCAATGGATCACTTCAATTCTTTCCATAAAAATCTCTTATGTTTCTCAACTTTAGTTAAAGTGTTGGACATTCAATTATTAGGCATTTATTATGAAATGAAGAAGATGCAGGATAAATTTAATAGATAGATATATTCTTAATAAGCTCTAAATACTTCTTCTTAATATCTGAAATTTTCCGAATTACATTTACAAATGATTGATCACCCTATTTATACTAGTTGACTAGGGGATGATTTATCAAAGAATGATTCTACAAAATCTGCTGACAACATTAAACTAAGCCATGTGTCTAATACAAGGATTGAAATTTGATTAGTGTGTCCTGATGACAAGGATGAACATTCACACTTGTCATTTTGGTGATTTTACAACACTCCCCATTGAATGTTCATCCTTGAATAGGTATTTATTATTTTAAAAACTTGTTGTGAAAATTAAGGGGTAAAGATTACGACTTATAATGTCATTGTATTTGGATGTACTGTCTCGTTAAAAAGATTATCAGGAAAGACCCAGTGGAAATATTCTTTATTAATAAAATCATTCATAAAAGTATAAAATTTATAAATTAACACAAATATAATACCTAAATTTATTATCTAAACTTTAGCACCATAGACCAAGAAAAGTTAAAATGATCAATCTTTTTTGGACTGAGGAAGTAGTAAACAATAACAAAGTGAATGACAAGGCTAATTCAAAAAAATGATTGCATTGTTTTAAATTCTTAAATATGACTAATTATATGTGTTTAGACAAATATATCTATGTAGCTGTTGCCACTGCTGCACTGCGGCACTGCCTCCGGTCTCCACCCGCCATCCATTAGCTGCCAACCTGTCCCCTGCCACCGCCACTGCTGGCTGCCACAACCGCCACCCACTGCCTACTCCCGCCAAGGGCATAGCTAGGGGAGGGCCAATCCTGTTCAGATCCAGCCCAAATTTAAAAAATGTCTAAATTTTTAGTGTAAAAAATTTCGTGTGATTTTTTTTTCAAAAATATTCTTTGTAGCGGCCTAGTCCGGCCCAGTGCCCTGGCTCCGCCCCCGACTCCCGCTAAAATCCGCTACAATTTTTTAGAATAGATACGCTGCCAGTTTGCGCTGCTGTCGGTCACCGCCGTTACCACCGGACTGCCCCGGTTATGCAAGGAAATTAGAGGGTAATTAATTAATCACATTAGGAGTATAAAAGGTATAAAATTAATGTTTCGTCTTGTTTAGAAAATAATTACGTTTTTCTCTTATTTATGTAATGATTTATATTTAATCCTATTTAGGGTCAAATGAATATATGATACCTTAACGGTTGATATTGTTACGTTTTGGTACCTCAACTCTTAAATAAATCAAATCAGTATTATAACTGTATATAAATGTTTCAACTTGAATTTTATTCAAATTTTTGACAAAAAATCATATGTGACGTCAAAAGTTCTATGCGTAAAGTCCACATCACCATCCTTTTGTCCATGTTATCATTGTAGGGTGACTCTACATATAAAATTTTGATCGCCATGTAGAGAATTTTTTGGCCATAAACTTGAATAAAATTGCAAGTTGAAATATTTATGTATAATTATTGTACTGATTTGATTCATTTAATAGTTAAGATACAAAAATGCAAACATGCAAGGTGTCATTTAAGCAACTTAAGATAATTACTAATTCTCGAACTATCAAAAGACCAAATTAATACATCATCCGACATCCATTCATTTAAATAAAATAATCGTGCTCTTTGTTCACCCGGTGGCGCTAGTAAGTAAAAAGAGTTCGAATTTTTGTTTCAATTGTTCCAAAAGGTGGAAATCTCCCACCCCAGGAGTCCCTCACCCCGACACGACAGGATGGTGGGGAGGTTAGTCACGGTGACTCTGTAAGTAGAATGACAGTAGGCCCATACACCCGTGCGCAATTGTTTCAATTGATTGAATAGTGTGTTTTGTAAAGTTCTCTATTTCACTAATCCAATTACAGAATAGGAAGTGGTATTAGCCCTTAGTAGGATTAAAATAAGCCCAAAACTCAACAATAGGAGTACAATCCTTTTATTCCCAAAATAGGACTAATATATAGCATCTTCCCATTTTACCCCCTTCCTATAATTTCCAATAGATTTACTTTTATTAATAAGAAAATAATAGTTTTATTTATAATAAAAATATAAAAAATAATAAAATATTTATAAAATAATAATGAAAACGTGAAAAAATAAAATAAAAATTAAAAATTAAAAACAATAAATTACTTAAAATAAATTTAAAAAGTCTAAAAAATAAAATAAAATACCTAAAAAATATTTAAAAAATATGTAGGTCACTGCCAACGCGTCCTCTACCTCCCAGCACCAACAACTGCTCAGGTCGCTGGAAAAAAATGCCATCTCGTGTAAAAAATGTCACATTTCTCTGAAAATGCTATAAAGATGACATTTTTACTTTTTGAAAATATTCAGCTTTCTCTTGCTTTCTCTTCAAAATTGCCATCATGATGACATTTTTTCCCCAACTTGGCAATCTTTTCGGGCGACCGGAGGTGGTGGTGCTGGAAGGTGGCTGAGGTGGTGGTTGAGGTCTATATATTTTTTAATTATTTTTTGGGATTTTTATTTTTTTAATTTTGATTTTTTTTTAATATTTTATAATGATTGTTTAAAAATCCTATTATCAAGGACAAATGAAAGGGTAGAATAGGAAGAGTTAGTACTATTTTGGGAAATTAAACTTTAAACTCATATCGTTGCAATTATCCTTTTATTTACTCCTATTTAGGTAAATCTCCCAAAAATAGATCGATGTATATTTGAACATTTGATCTTTATTAATTTAGCTCCAACACATAGGTCCTCCTTTGGACAAATACAAAGTGTAGTACTCCCTTCGTCCTGCAAAATAGTTCCCGATTTCCTTTTTGGGTTGTCCAAAAAAACAGTTCTCATTTCTCTTTTTGGAAAGTTTTATGTGGCTCACATTGATTAAAACTTTTCTAATTCAACCACAACCATACACTTCCACTTTATTATAACTTTCTTAAACTTCGATCCAAGTCAATGCGAGAACTATTTTATGGGACAGAGAGAGGGAGTACGTACTAATATCTACAGAAGTACGGAGCACTGAAGCTCATCATTGTTATTCTTGGGCTGCCAACCTATAAAAAGGGGACCGCTACAATTCATGTACGTGAGGCTGCGCAATTGTATTCCCAATTGCATAACATTTTCAAAAACAAAAATGAAAGGTATTTGTTGTACTTTTATGCTTTGTATAACATCCTGTGTTTTTATGTCTCTTTTTTGAAGAAAAACGATTAACTATCATTAATTAAATCATGAGTCAACATGTCATAGATACATAATGGCGGTTGTGAAATCGACATCGCACGATCAGACATTGAACCTGCCGCTCTAGCTAGACCGTAAGCAACACGATTCGCAGACTGTTTCATATGACCAAAAGAAATACAAGAAAAACTAGCCACCATAGTTTTAATATCCTCAATGAGCAGACTGAAACTTGAATTTCTGGTCCCTGCTTGGATGCTTGAAATTACCTGAGAAGCGTCAAGACTCAATTTCAAGGTTATCCCATCCTTGTGTCATAACCCAGCTCATCGCTTCCCTTATGCTTAAAGCTTCCACCTCTCGCGGTAGATATTTCCCCCGCCCCGAGATAGCCTCCCCCGCTAGAAAAGCTCCTGTAGAGTCACATGCATCCGTGTTGATCTTTATAGTGCTCCCTAACGGTTTTCTCCATAGCAGATCATGAGCACTTCTATCTGGCAGTGTCGTTTTCTCAAGCTCTTGTGCTCGTCTCCAACTAGTAAGAAAAGAGGACGTTTGGTTGATTACTTGCTCCGCCAATGCTTTAGCACCCTTCCAAACTTTCATATTTCGGGCATCCCAAATCGCCCAACATGTCACGCCCCAGACCGCGTCAGTGCCACGTAGACAACCGTCGTACAACTCAATAAGAATAACCGCAGTTCATCCTTACTAAATTGCACAAGACGTCCGATAGATTCATATGCCAAAACCGATTAGTAAACATACATAACAACATCAACATACAATTAAAAACATAGCGGAATATAAGTGTTTAATAAGAACGCACACAAGGGTAAAACAAGAGCTCACATGCTCCATTAATTTATAAGTCACAAATAGTTCCATGAGCATTATTTAATTATTTAGGAATAGAACCAGAGGAAGCACGAACCACGTCTTCTCTCCATCGATCTCCCGAACAACGGGTGTTGGAAGTAAGCTCTAGCTTCAACCTGAAATGGTGGTTCCCCCGAGGGATCAGTACTACAGAAAAGTATTGGTGAGGGTAAACTGTATGTAATATAACTAACGTTTCTCACATGGGACCCTCAACATAGGGTGATAGTATATGTATAGGCATAACTCTTGACTACCCCTTTTCAAAACATATTGTATACGTATATACATATGAGTAAAATATCCGGTCCATGGGCCCATTTGTCTTTCAAATCATTTAGGCGTAACAACCTCATTAAATTCACCTTCCCATATCCTACCCTCGAGTGAAGTCACCCGCAGGCTAACTCACCCGATAAAAAAGATAATTATTGCAGGGGGAGGGGGGGCTTTGGGCTCCCATATCACGGACATGGTTTAAATTAAATTCCTAGACCAAGGAAAATACCCTATCGGGAACTCATTCCCGATCACGTATGTTTAATCATCTAGAATCATTACCTTGAGGTTTACCTACCTCGAGGACTATTTGTCCTTACAATCATAGTTTACATTCCCGGGACTAACCCCGCCTTGAGGAGTACGCATACACCCTCATCCTATGTGTCATTTGCTAGAGGTTAACACACCTCAAGGACTACACAGGCCCTTGTTACCTATATGCAATTTGATGGAGGATACCACACCTCAAGGACTGCACTTGCCCTTGTTACCTATGTGTAATTTTATGGAGGTTAACACACCTCAAGGACTACACGGGCCCTTGTTATCTATATGCAATTTGATAGAGGTTAACACACCTCAAGGACTGCATTTGCCATTGTTACCTATGCGTAATTTGCTGGAGGTTAACACACGTCAAGGACTACATGGCCCTTGTTACCTATATGCCATTTGATGGAGGTTAACACACCTCAAGGACTGCATTTGCCCTTGTTACCTATGTGTAATTTGCTGGAGGTTAACACACCTCAAGAACTACACGGGCCCTTGTTAACGTTTGAGTATAAAGGACTCCTCCTGGTCCTACAGAGTATTACCTGACCTTACTCGGTCCCGGATATTCACCCGCCATGTATAATCTACCACTTACCTCACCCGGTCGTGGTCTATAATTTTCTTTACTAACGACTAGTCCAAGTCTTAGCATTTAAACCATATTCGAAGCTTTAGCAACCAACGTGGACGGGTCCCACCCGAACGGCCCACGTAAACTTACTCAAAAACAGCATATTGGGTGTATAACCCAATACCCGGTCGGGCGATTACCCATACCCGATCGGGTATGGTGAGGCAGTAGCCTCTGGAACCATTTCTAATTAATACCTGGTCGGGTATTTACCCATACCCGGCCGGGTATGGTGAGGTAGTAGCCCCTGGAACTGTTTTTAGCTAATACCCGGTAGGGTATTTACCCATACCCAGTCGGGTATAGCCTTTGACTTGGCGGTCAACGTCCGTTTGACCGCTCAAACAAAGTCCGATTTATGTGAAAATTTATACACATGTACTTCTTGACTTCCTCAATCCAAAAGTACCTTTTTGGGTCTTTGGAACATCATACATAATTAATTGTCACATTTTGAATCATCAAACTTACTTAACATGCTTTTCAACTATATTTCACATATGATCATGGCATAACACATACTTGATTATCTTTAATCATTCCATAAAATATATTCTTGATTACTTTAGGTAATCTCATGCCTCACGCAAAATTTATAAAGCATAAAGCCATATTCCCACAACTATTAATAAGTACTTCATACTTATTAATCGTTTATATATTATTTTCTAGTTTATTTCTCATAACTAGATCATTTTTTGTAATAAGCACACTTAAGCGTTTCTAAAATATTCACAAGAATATTACTTGACTTACTATGGTCATTTCTCAAATGAGCCAACAAAATCATTTATGATAACCTTCATCAAAATATTATTAATTCCTTTACTCATTAATCATGTCATATTCACATAACTTATAATCAATATAGTTAATCACATGTTTAAATACATTTTAACATTTTTATACATATTCATATACTAGATTACTCTAGTTGTCTCATACATAGTCCATGTATGAACCCCTTTTTATACATTTGAAAATAATATGTTCATGATTAATCCACAAATAAATCTCTTATTCATTAATCATGTAATATTTTCACTATTCACATTCACCATGACTAATCATGCATTTTAATCCTTTTAATCATTTCTCAAATCATGATTATGATTTTATTTTGGTAATCCCACGTTTGACCCAAGAGTTACAAGACACGTAGTCATCCACTCACCTTGAAATGACGCTAGCGAGCTTTTATCATCTTCGTTTGAACTCCGGTAACTTTTGGAATTTTCCGGCAAAAACTCCGGCGGCTCCGGCGACTTTTCCGGCCACTCCTAGATTTCTTGAGAAGTCTATAATACCTTGGTAAAATTCCTAACAAGGTTTCACAATCAAAAATGGTATAAACATCAAAATCTCCTAAGAAGGTGTTTTCCGGTGAACCGGTCTTACTCCGATCATAACTCCGATCATGGTTAAAACTATTATTCCAACCCCTAATTCTACACCTCTAGAAGTGTAGAACAATATCAAGGTTCTATCACATGATTTATAAAATCATATGAGATTAAAAGAAGGAAGAAAAATGCTAATGAAGTCATTACCTTGATTTTCCAAGTTTTCCTCTTTCTTTCCTATTCTTTCTTCTCTTTTCTTGGTTGCTTCCTCCTCCTTGTTCTTGGTTCGAGTAAAGTGGTAGAGATGATGTTTTTGAGACCCTATTCCTTCCTAATTGATGCTAGGGTCGAAATGATATGAGGGTGTGTGAGTGAGAGGATGGTTCTTTGTCATCTTCCAAAAATAATGAAGGAGGGTCCCTTTTCTTTTAATATTATCTCCCCCATCACTTCTTATTACACTCCAGACAAGTAGGTCGGCTCTCCTCCCTCTTTTGCATGGTCTCAAGTCGTGGGATGGCCCCCACTCATGTGGGAGGTCATCCCTTTATACCCCGAAGTGTGTATTCGATCCCGAAAGTTGCATTTTTCGGACTAGTTTAATTAATATTCTTTGTATCGGGTCAAATAAAATATATATCATTCTTCCCATCAGTATTGGTCTTTAGAGTGAATATATATCATCCAACTTTAATTTCGTCGTTCCCGGAATTTATTTCGAGCTATTATCTGATTAATTACCAATACTGGTAATGAGACTTCGTTTGATCGAAAGGTCACTTTATGGCTCAAATATAATTTACACCATCATATAAATATCATCTAAACCAGGATGAATATAATATGTGGTCCGTAAATATCGAATGGTTCCTGCCCATGTGTGGGTCAACGTGCATTTTACTGTTTCAAGTAACAATAGAAATGAGAACGCGTCATCTCGTAAATTCATTAGTCATTTCTCACGACTCAATATGTGTTTTGATATTTTGTGACACTTTAATAAAATGTTACACTTCTTTTTATATGGTCCAAAGTGTATGAACAGATAAAATCTTATCACTTTGTTCCTATACCAAAATATCTTCAAGGTAGGGTCCTCCAAAAGTACCCTCCTTTAATGCACCAAATTAATCATATATTTATCAACCCATTATTTTGGATTCTTAAAATATTTATATTTCTTTTGTCATTCAACATTAATTTTTTATACGCTAAGAATACCACGGGGGGTCCCCGCTCCCGATGTGGGTCCAGCATCTGATTAATAATCCTTTATTAATTTAAGAAAAGAATTTTATCTTTCTCATTTATCAAGGCTACTCTAGTCTTGATTTACCTTCGTTAACCATGTACTTGATGAAAAAATATCTCTGGGTAAAAATTCGGGTCTGATGTTACACAACATGTCATGACTAGTCTGCTGCCTTGTTCCTCGTTCGAAGCTAAGAAAACAGATTCTACCCACGCTAAGAATGAGGCATTCACACCTAGATTTTCTCTCCAGTGAAGTTTGTTCCACACTTCTTATGCCGGCCAATGTTGGTCCCGTTTGTAATGGGAACAATCTAGAGGGGGGGGGGGTGAATAGACTGTTCAAAATTTTAAACATTTCTCTAAGTCACAACTGACTTATCAGAGATGGTCGATTTCTGGTGACAGAGAGGGTCAAGTTCTGATGGCAGAACTGGACTTGGCAGCGGATTGGTTTCTGTCCGGGTAGCCTCAGAAAACACTAAGGCAAATGCCTTTCTGATAACTCTTGAGGAAGATCTGCTGAACACAGAGTCCAACCTGTTGAGTTACACAGTCAAGTTCTTAAGTGCAGAAATAAAATGAGTAAAGTAAATGACACCGGGGATTTTTATAGTGGTTAAAGGAACAACTTGTTCCTCTAGTCTGCTGTTCCACTAAGCTTGCAAAAACGACAGTTTACAACGCCTTAGTCCCTAGAACTTAAGAAGCTCTCCACGTCTTCTTCAAGCCTAGTTGCCACCCGGGATGCAGTCCTGCTTCCTGATGGCTGGTCTCGTTTCACTGAGTCTTCTTCAAAACCCTTTAACTATTTCCAGAGAAGTGCCTTTCACCATAAAAGAATAAAGTTACAAACTTTCATTAAAATCTTGGTGGGAACCTTAGCATAGGAAAATAGTAAGAGTACAGTACAATCAGATAGCAATAAAAGGACATAAAGTAACAGAGCAAACACAAGGAAGTCACAGAAGGAAGAAAGAACAGATAATTTAAGATGCCATGCAAACTAGAGGCAGAGGTGGTATCTTATTATCAGAAGATTAAATACATAAACAGAGATGGATAAAATTAAGATTCTTCTTCATCTACCTGAGGTCCTGCTTTGTCAATTCTTTCAAGCTCTGCATTGATCTTTGCTCTGATGGAGGCTAAGTCCCTCGGATTCTGATAGTCTACCCAGTGAGGTGCAAGCTTGCAATCTAAGTAATTTCTGATTGCTTCTGATATGTTCTTGCCAGATAGGACTCTCATCTGCCACCAAATTTCAGCTTCTTGTATTGATCCACCATGATTAATTTGGACGAGTCCATCACTCTCCATAATCAGATTTTCTTGTTGCAGTGGGGTCATTAGCTTCTTCATCTAAGTAAATTGGGCTCTGTCAGGCCTAGACATCCCACTTTTCATCCACTCATTAAAAGTAAAGTTGGAGGACTTCTTCTTAGAACTTCTGGGAGGTGGAGGAGGAGGTCTGGTGCCTGCAGTAGCTTGCTTTTTCTTCTTGGCAGCTTCGAAATAAGGAGCAGGATCAACAGTAGATGAGGGTCCTCTGATAGATAAGGCTCTGGAGCTTGGACCTTCTTCTTCTCTGGTGTCTTCCCCCTTTTTGGCATCAACAAGATCGCCAAGGAGGAGCTCAATCTTCGAGAACTCTGAGGCTTGAGCATCTCTGATCTCATCAAGAGCCTCTGGCAGAGTCTGGGTAACAGAGGCGAGTCCTTCAATCAGGCTCTGTTGTCTTTCCATAGTTGACTGGATGCTCTGTGTACTGGCTTCAAGGAGTACCAACTTCTGGTAACGCTCCTTGTCCTTGTGAAGAAGATCTAAAGCTTGCGCTTTGTGTTCTGTACACAGATGTCCTATTTCCATAAAGCGTGCTGAGGCTTGATCAGCATTCCATTGAAGAACATCCAAAGCTTCAGTGATCTGCTTCAGTGTCTCATTCTGGTTATTCAGAGATTGGGAGTGAAAGTAAAGGATATAGTTGATTCCTTCTACTTTTTTGGAGACTGTATCAATCTTCTTGTTGGATGAGCTCATGAAGGTGTGCAGGGACTCTGTCAGAGTGTCAAGCTTTTCTGACAGTTGCTGTAGGACCTGATTGAGATTGATGTTTGTGTGAGTCAGATGCTCATAGTGTTTGTCATTGATGACAATGAGCTTGTTCATGTTGTCTAGCATTTGACCACAAAATTCTTCTGCAGATTGGACAAACTGGTTGAAGTCCATCTGAGGCACTTCTGGAGCAAACCCAGGCATCTCCAAACCTCTTCCCTTAGGGAATGGAGTAGTATTGCCAGTGGGTTCTGTAGATTGATCCCTAGGAGGTGTCTTCCTCCTTTTGGATGTGAAGTCTGTCGCAAGAGAGGATGTGAGGAATCCATCATTGTCAGCATCTGAGGACAGTATGCGAATGGGAATCTCTCTCTTGGGTGTTGAAGCTACAGAGAGCTGAGGAGAGAGTGGGGGTGTTGCAGCTCTGGTGTTTGACAGGGGTTTCTACTGAGGAGGTGAACTCTGGTGTGAAGGGGTTTTCTGATGGGGGGTGTTCTGATTAGAGGGGTTCTGAGGGGTGATTGATTTCAGAGGTCTGGGGGAGGGTGGTGGTGAGGGTGATCGGTTTCTAGGAGGTGAGGGTTGTTTGCAGGGTGATGGAGACTTTGATTTAGTCTCCTGAGGGGTTTGATTTCTGATGGGGGATGGTGGAGGAGAGGAGGTTTTCTGAGGTGATGGGGTTTTCTGTTTGAGTGGGGTTGAAGGTTTTGAAGGTGATTTGGAAAGTGAGGGAGATTTAGGTGAAGGAACTTTAGATGGGGGTGATTGAGTAAAAGGAGATTTGGGAGGGGAAGGAGGGGGTGTAGGAATTACCTCAAGAACAGTTTCAGAGAACAGGGATTCTCTCCATTCCTTGACCAGCTTTTCCATTGTTAGAGGAACATCATTTGCTGTGGAGGGTTCCCCTTCTTCATGAGCACTGTGGCAAAACTTGATGAGTGATTCCTTCCTCTTCTTCTCCATCAGCCATTCATCAAACATATTCATTTCATGTCCTCCAGAGCTTTGACATGCTTTTCTGGAGATAAAGTAGGCATAGGTGCTTTACCTTGATGTCTCTCTTTCTTCTTCTGCAGGACAGAAATGAGAAATGCAAGGTCGAAGCACTGTGACACATCTTCTGTGCCCACCCAGTGTAGAACAGCAGCTTCTTCTACCTCAAAGCAGTCAAAATACTGTATGATCTTCTGAAGAGGCCCCATTCTCCATCTTCTCCAGGTCAGAACCCTTTCAAACTGCCTTTGAAGAATAGTGTTGTAATCAGTCTCTGGTGCTCCGTCAGAGGTGGCTTGGGGTTCTGATAGATCTGCAGTGAAGACCAAGTCTGGTGCAGAGGAGGGTTGTGCAACAGATTCAGGTTCCCCCTGAGTTTCTGATCTCCGTGCAGGTGTAGCTGCCTTCTCCTTGGTGAGGTCGTTGATGTTGATGAAGTTCATTGTCTGAGAAATTTCTGAAGATTCTGGAGATTAAGAAGTTTTGAAGCTTGTACGTTTAGAGAGATGAATTGCAGTAGCGGTTTAGGTTGAAGAAGGTGGGTATAAATGGTTTTGGATTAGTGGACGTTTGAGATAATTTACGGTTTCGAGGTATCATTTAAAGAAATGCGGGCGGAAAAACGTTTCCGTTAACGGAATAATAATCAGGGGTATTCTGGTAAAAGACCTGTTCAAGTTAAAAGGTCTTGCCCGTTCCTCGAAAAATAACCAAGTCCACATGGATCTCTGATGGACTACAGATAAGGATCCCTGTATCAGAGAAGGAGGTTCTCTGATGAAGGGTACTCTGGTGATTAGATAAGGGGTATTCTGATGTAGGGTCTTCTGATCCAGAAGTCAGTTCTGGTTCACAGTAATTCTGGTTCATGCATCTCTGGGAAGATCATCCATCATTCCCAGTTCTTCCCTTAGCTTGTTGAACCTTGCCTCTAGTAACGGCTTGGTTAGAATATCCGCTAGCTGATCTTCTTGTAGGTACATGCTCCATACAGATATGCTTCTTCTCCACATGATCTCTGATGAAGTGATGTCTGATCTCAATATGCTTTGTCCTGGAGTAAAGTACTGGATTTTGAGTGATTGCAATGGCACTGGTGTTGTCACAGAGCAACTTGATCTCCTTTGCTTGA